TTAGAGCCAGGGTCACCCCAGGGTTCCTGTCCCCTGTCCCTTGACCAGCCCAGACCTCTGTCTGTGGCTCACACACACCATAGGGGACAAGACCTTCCAGCCCCCGGGCTTCTGAGGACATTAGAACATGGCACAACTCCCCTCCAGCCCACCCCTTGGTACCAGCCTCTTGCCCATCTCTGCCTTCCCTCCTCAAAGCTCAAGGTTGAGGAGGAGCTGATGGGCTTGCCTCTGACTGGGTTCCTGCCTCCCCTGGGGGCAGCCTTGGCCCGTCCTGGCCCAAGATGTGGGGTATTTCCCTTGAGCACAGTGGCAAGCAGTTTGGGACACATGACCCACCCTGTGTATCACCCTCATCCGAGCCAACAGCCTTTGGGAAATGCCACTGCAGGAGTACTGGGGAGGGTGGGGAGGCTGAGGAGACAAGCTTTGAGGACTTGGGGAGATGCACAGGAAAAGGGGTGCCCCAACTTACCGTGACCTCCTGGGGGGCATTGCTCACTGTGGGGTAGGAGGGGCACAGGGGTGGGGGAGAAAGGAACAGAGACTCAATCAGGGGTGAGGCCCACAGGCCCAGCCCCAGCCCCACACAGGCTCGTACCTGTAGAGCGGGATGGGGGCGGTGCCCCTGATTGCTGCCACTCTGTGGCCTCAGCAGCCAGGCGCCTGATGTAGGTGTCACCCACACACAGCAGGATGTTCTCCGGCTTGATGTCTGTGTGGATGATCTTGCACTTGGTATGGAGGTAGTCCAGGCCATGCAGCACCTGGGGGGAGCCACTCCTGAGCGCCACCAGCCCTGCCCAGGCTGCCCAGTGCTGTTCACACGGGGCCCCGGATGCCCACCTGTCTCACAATGCTCTTCACGCAGGGCACGGGCAGGCCCTGGTAGTTGGACTTGATGATCCACTTGAGGAGCTGGTGGCCCAGGACCTCCAGCACCATGCACACATCTGGGACTGGGAGTGAAGGATAGCTGGTGGGCACACAGCTGGATCACAGGCCCCACACACCCTCAGCTGGGATGGGGGAGCAATGAGGTTCAGGCAGTGCAGAGCCGGGCCTGGGTGGTCCTGGTGATCACCGCTGTCCCGTGTCATAGTGTCCCTAGGATGTGCCAGTTGGGATGGTACATTCTGTGGTCATTCTAGAGAGAGGGCACTTGAGCAGACACAGGCCTCTCAGACCAGCCCCCCTCCTGTGCCCAGGTGTGCCACAGAGGCAGCCCCTGCTATTTGGAGATAACTCAGCCACCTGGGTACCCACTCCCCCACCTGAAAAAGTAGTGAGGGTATTTAGAAGACAAGTGTCCCTGGAAGGCATAACCCCCCATTGTGCAGATTTGCAAACTGAGGCCCTTGTAGCTGGGAAGGCACAAGCTGGCCCCGGGCACTGCCACAGTGCTTTGCTCAGCCTAGAAAGGATACGGACTCCATTAACCCCTGAGATCCTGAAGTCATCAATGAGCTGGACAATGGTCTCTCTTTTGGGGTCACTGGGGTCACTGTCTCGGACCTGGAGCAAAAACCAAGCAGCCATGAACGGCTCCAACCTGCCCCTCGCCAGTTGCTCCCAGCAGCAGCGGCCCCTCTCCCATTCCCACTAGGCTGCTGGCCCCTCCCTCGACAGTCCTTCCATGAGGGTAGAGCCAGCTGGAGCCTGCCCCTCTGGGAGTCCCGCCCTGCCCCAGGAGACCCGGCAGGCCTCGCACCCACATTGCCAGGTCCTGGGCAGCTCACGGGGAGCTGGGAGCTGGTAGGGGAGGTGTCTCACACATTTCAGGAGCTTGATCTCATCCACAGCTGTCTCCGTGTAATGCCCTGCGCTCTTCACCACTTTCAGGGCCACAAAGCGCTTGCGCCTGCAACGCCGAGACCCGCATTGGCTGCCAGCCCCAGGCAGACGCATGGGAACATCATGGTGGCCCCAACCAAGCCCAGAGGCAGGATCCCAGCTGGCACTGGGACCCAGGGGGCAAAGGGGACACTCACTGGATGTCCCAGCAGAGCCAGACGGTAGAGAAGTGGCCCCAGCCCAGCTTGCGCACCACGTGGTACCGCCCATTGAACAGATCACCGATCTTCACAGGGTAGTAGCCACCTGGGGAAAGGAGCCGACAGAGCTTTGGAGGCGGGGGGGGGGGGGGGGGGGGCCGGGGGGCCGGAAAAAAGGCCCCACCCCTTTGGGCCCCTGGCTCATGTGGGCTGGTGCCAGCACCCTCTTTCTCCTGGGTTGTCCTGCCCCCTACGGCAGCCCCTGGCTGCCTGTGCCCCAGGCCAGGCCTCACCCTTGCAGTAGTCCTTGGGGTCCTCCTGCTCCTCGTCATCCGAGCCCAACAGCCCCTGCAGCATCCGAGGCGCGGGCGCAGCGGGTGCTAGGTCAGAGCCCGAGGACTCGGGCCCGCAGGAGGCCTGTGAGCTGCAAGTGGGGCAGGCGAGCAGTGAGCACATGAGGCGAGGCGCCACGGCCACCCCGCCCCCCCTCAGGCGCCGCCCGGGCTGATCCCTACCTGCTGCTACTGCTGCCGACACTGTCCCCGCCGCCGCCGCCTGTGCTGGCGCTCATCCCGGCCCTAAGGCCTGCAGCTCTGGCGCCCCGAGCTGCTGCTCCTGTGGGGCCGGTCTCGGCCTGCGAATTTATAGCCTCGGCCGCTGATCTCACCCGCCTTTATAAATAGCCTCCCAGCTGCTCAGCTGTGGGCAAGGTATGCAGCGGGGAGGGGGCAGTGCAGCAGCCAGAGAGAGCCCGGCCCCCAGGCTAAGCCCCCCTGCTGCTGCCTCAGGGCTGGCACAGGGGCCATCTCGGGAACAGGGTGTGACCCAGCCTCCATACTGAGCAGCCCCACAGAGACCTCAGGACCAAGGGGGTTACCCATGAGGGGACATGAACGACCGGATTCCAGGCTGAGTTCTTGAATTCCAGAGCCAGCTGAGGGGAGCAGCCAGGCAAGGGCTCCATGGAAATGGCGAGCTAGTCCTCAGGCCAAGAACAGCCCCTACTCCCCACCCCCTCACCCCACCCCCATGCCTAGCACCATTGACCCTTTGGGGACATTCTCTGGCTTTCCACTTGGCCCTGTGGGAGCCTTCCCAGAGGCGATCCCTCATATTCCCATGGGCATCACATTCCCTGCCCACTCCCAGGCGGGTTCCCACTTTTCCTGTGTCTCATTGACCCCTAAGACAGGTGGGAGCCCCGTGTCCTCCTTTTCCTGAATGTGGGTCACTGGGGGCCCTGGCGTGGCAAGAGTCAGGGGCATGAGCTGAAGGCAACTGGTTCCTCCCACCCGAGGTGCTGGCCGAATGGAAGCCTGGGAACCTGTCCAGCCAGGCCTCTGGCACCGAGACCCTGTACAGTCTCCTTCCGTCTCTGTTTCAGGCCTGCCATTCCCGGCCCCGCTCATTGTCTCCACCCACATGTGCCATGTGCCCGAGTGGGAGGCACAGGGAACTGTCCACACTGGCCCTGCCCTCAGGGGTCCTTCTCTAGTGGGGAGCAAAAAGCCCACGGCTCTAGTGGGCTGGTGACAAAGGGATGTCCAGGTCAGAGGCAGATCTTGTGACCTTGGAGCTGCATCCAAGGGGACCAAGAAGAATCGGGTCCTCAGAAAGGGAGTGGAAGGGTAAGTCTCCAGGGTGACAAAGGGCCTGGTTGGGGTAAGGCTGGCAAAAGGATGGGCTGGAAACCTCCTGGGCTGGCGACCTCCATGGCTGGCCTGGCCAGAGTGGCTGGGGTCGGGGAGAGGAGGGGAGGCCTTGGGTGGCCAATTATGGGTTTCTGGCAGACTGATGGGCACTTTTGCTCTTTTGAAAGATCACTCTGGCTGCTCCCAGGATGGAATGGAGGGGGCAAGAGTGGAGCCAGCCTGGCCAGCATGGCTCAGTGGTTGAGCATCAACCTATAAACCAGGAGGTCACGGTTCGATTCCTGGTCAGGGCATATGCCTGGGTTGCCAGCTCAACCCCTGGTGTGGGTGTGCAGGAGGCAGCTGGTCAATGATTCTTTCTCTTCATTGATGTTTCTATCTCTCCCTTCCTCTCTGAAATCAATTGTACACACACACACACACACACACACACACACACACACACTAGAGGCCCGGTGCATGAAATTTGTGCGGGGGGGGGGGGGTAGGGGAAGGGTTTGGGTCCCTCAGCCCGGCCTGCACCCTCTCACAATCCAGGACCCCTCGGGGGATGTCTGACTGCTGGCAGTTGGACATCCTTCTTACAATCCGGGACTGCTGGCTCCTAACCGCTCGCCTGCCTGCCTGATCGCCCCTAACCACTTGCCTGCCTGCCTGATTGCCCCTAACCGCCTCTGCCTCAGCCCCTGCCACAGCAGCTTGGTCCAGAAGGACATCCAGAATGATGTCCAGAAGATTGTTCAGCTGTCTGGTCTAATTAGCATATAATGCTTTTATTATCATAGATATACTAGAGGCCCAGTGCTGCCAGCTGCCAACAGGGCCTCCCTCCCTTCCTCCGGCCAGCCCTGCCCCCTGGGTTGAATTCCCAGATGGACCTCCAGGTCAAGGGGACAAATTGCATACTATTGATTTTAATATATTAGGGCAAATATATATAATATATATATATTTAAAATAGGCTATATATATTTATTTTATATATTTATTTATCCCCCCCCCCCCCCCCAACAATATATATTTTTTTAAAGGTGAAGCCGGGAGGCCAGCTGGGGACTGTTGAGGACTCAGAATGAAATGGGGGCTTAGCAATGACTATGGTTAGCCCAGGATGGGAGACACTTGATCCTGTGTCCCTGTGCCAGGAAAGAGCAGTAGGGTGGGGTGGGCATAGATGGGGGGTAGGGGGCAGGGGCACTTTTCCTACAGGGAGCAGTAGAGGCGAAGGGAGGGAGGAGAGCAAGGCCTGGGGATGCCCATGACCCCTCTTTTCCTCAGGCAACAGAAGTCACAGCCATGGCACCGAGGAGAGGGCTATGTAGGCTCCAGAGGAAGGAAGGGGCTGGGACTGGGCTTTTCCTAAAAAGACTTTATTTCCAGATGCAACTTTCCAGCAAGCAAATAAATATAATGAGGAGGCGGGGGAAGGATTGCTATAAATTAGAAAAAAAGCCTGGGGCAGGGAGGAAGGGTGGGGGAGGAGAGGTTGCAGGGACCCCCCCCCCCCACTCTCTGCAGCCCCTCTTCTGCTTGGTCCAGGAGTCATAAGGCACTGTGGTGGTGGGTCCTGCTGGCTTCCCTCCAAGCTGATGGGCCTCAGGCACCCACTGTGGCCTGAGCTCACAGGTCAGTCACCTTGTTCTCCACCAGGGCAGCGATCTGCTGCAGGCGGCAGGCCAGCTGCATCTTCTGGCCCACAGGGTCCCCCTCCAGGGCATTGATGATCTGCCAGGGCAGAGGAGGGCACCCCGCATGAGCCCCCAGCGCTCTGCCCACTGACCCAGTGCTACCCAGCCCTGCTTGTATCTCAGCAGGGCTGCCCTGGGCCTCCCTGGGGGAATCTAAACAGAAACCAGCCTGGGCAGCGTGGCTCAGTGGTTGAGCGTCAACCTATGAACCAGGAGGTCATGGTTCGATTCCCGGTCAGGGCATATGCTCGGGTTGCGGGCTCCATCCCCAGTGTGGGGGTGTGTAGGAGGCAGCCGATCCATGATTCTCTCTCATCATTGATGTTTCTATCTCTCTCTCTGAAATCAATAAAAATATATTAAAAATAAATAAATAAACAAACAAACAGAATCCAAGCCCCTTCCAACCTGGGCCCTTCCTCCTCATCTGCCTGCGGGGGTGGGGCTGGACACCTCCTCCACCCCCAGGGGAGTGCCCCTCCCCCCTAGAGCACCCTGACCTCACTTGTTCATAATACCTGTGGATGTGGTATAGAGTTCTGCAAGGCTTCCAGACAGTGGGGAGCAGAGGTGTAGTTCTGGGGGCAGCACATTGGGGAGGGTGTGAGTCCCCAGCCTGGGCCTCCAGCCCAAGCCTCCCCCTACACCCTGTCCCCCAACCGTGGAGAGGTGCGTCCCTGGGCCATGCCTCACCCCCGAGAGCTCGGCCAGAGCTGAATTCATCTCCTGGTAGCTTGCCGGAGAGCTCTGGCGAATGTCAGAGTAGTATCTGGAGGAGGGGACACAGTTAGGGGCAGGCAGCCTCCACCCCCAGCCGTGCACCATGACACCTACCTCTCCACCATCTGCTTGTAGCGAGGGATCTCCCGGGCGTAGAGCAGTTTGTTCACCGGGGAATCCTGCTCCAGATTGGAGGGGGGGGGGTGTGAGTGGGGAGGTGGGGGAACTCTGGCCCTGTCACCCTGACCACGCCACCAGTGCCCCTCCCCCTGGCCCCCACTATGCGCCATCCCTCCCAGCCCCACCCAGGGCTCTGCACCCACCCGCCATGGCTGGCTCTGCTCTCACCCGGCCCACTTTGTGCTCTGAGACTGTACAGGAGTCGATGAAGGTCTGGGCGATGACGGCAAGAATGGCATCCACATTGTCTGACACCCGTACGTCAAAGATGAGCTGTGGATTCTTCAGCGTGTTCACCCAGAATCGTAGCAGCAGGCTGGAGACACAGGCCGGCCGTGGGTGTGAGGCGTGGCTAGCCCCGCACACCTCACCAGCCTGGGCCCGGCCCTGGGCTCCCTGGGGAGCGGTCCCGTGAGTCCACGCTGGGGGTGGCCAGAAATCGAGCCGCATGCCTCCAAGCCTGGCTTCCTGTTAGGTCCCACTGCCTTCATCATGGCGATGTCCTTGTCCCTCTGGGATGCCATGTCCCATCTGCACGGGATGGGGGGCAGATACCTGTTAGTCTTCCAGATGTGCAGGGTCTCTGGGTCCTCGATGCCATGCTTCTCTGCCAGCTCATCCAGGAAGTCGAACAGGTACTTGACAGCGATGGGTACGGGCCGGTTCACGCTCAGGATGGCCTGGAAGGTGTCATCCACGAACTTCTGCAGTGTGCCCTGGAAGGCAGGGGAGCAGGCTCCATCAGTGGGCGTGGGGCCGCCCCTCAGGAGCATGCGTGCTCCCCACCTCAGTCAGGGGCCCCTGGGTGAGCCTTCCTGACACTTGGCTCCCCCGGGGCCCAGCTCCCAGCTTCACTGACCTTCATGGAGAGCAGGCGGGTGAGGTAGATTTCCGGGATGGCTTTGGCCCGTGCCCGCTCCCGCTCCCGCTCCCGCAGGCTGCTGCGCCGAACCTTGTTCCCATCTGGCTCCTCAGTGCCTTTCACCAGGTGCCAGAGGCGGACCCCACCTTCCTCGCCGTCCTCCAGCATGGGGGTGTCTGGGGACGCATGTGCCAGCCTCGGTCCTATGCCCTGCTGCCCACCCCACCCCACTTGGCAAGGTGGTAGAGGCTGGGAGGAGCCCATGGAAACAGCGGGTAATGATGTGGAAAGGAGGGTGGCCGCCCAGGGGCTTGTTCAGCCCGACACCCCATAGCCCTGGAGCTCCCTGACCGGGACACACCGCTGCCCTCATCTGCCCCAGGCCCTTTGCTCAGCCTGGAGCTTTGGCTGGCCCGCTGGCAAGGGGTGGGGAGCCCCAGGTGACAGCATGGCCGGGACTCCTGCCTGGCCGCCTCAAGCTCCCAGGGACAGATGTGCACGTCTGGGTTTCGGGACTCACTCTCCCCGGAGGAGCAGCTCTGGGCCAGGCTCTGGGAGACGGCGCCTCCATTGTGCAGCTGGGGGATGAGCCTCACTGTGGCCCCATCTGGGACCTGGACGGGAGGGGAGCAGAGGCTGGGCTTCTTCTCTGGCCGATCCAGAGGCAGGAGGCCTGCTCCCCAGCCTGTGCCCACCCCGAACCTTGTAGTGCTGGAGGGTGTTGAGTCTCTTCCAGTGATTCTGGGTCACTGAGGTCAGGTCCTCATCCGACAGGGTTAGGTGACCAGCCAGGCCCGAGCGCCACTCTGGGGGGACCCAGGGAAGCCAATTAGCCTGCAGCCCGTCCCCCAAGTCTGCCATTCAGGGCAAGGCAGAGCTGAGCCTCTACGGGTGCCCCAGGAGGGGAGGGCGGTCGGGCTCTCTCACCGAGGTCTAGGGTGTGCACGGAGGGCCTCTGGGAGAACGGGGTGCCCTTGTAGACTTGCTCCAACACCTTCTCCTTGACCTGCGTGATGGTGTCTGTGTCGAGCACCCGGGCTGGCACGTGCTGCGCTGAGCTGCTCCCTGAGGCCCCACCGGCCCCAGGGCCCACCAGCACCATCAATGTTAGGGGCCGGAAGTCCATGTCCTCCCGAAGCAGGCGACTGTCATTCAGGGTCCTTTTAGCCTTGCCTGTCACGGCGTCCACAGGACCCTTATCCACCTGGTACTGGATGGCCCGCAGGAGCATATACAGCGGCTCACCAGCCACCTCCTGCAACCGTTCGGACGGGCCAGCATCAGTGGGCTGTGGGAAGTGCAGAGGGCTTGGGGGTGGGGAGGGGCAGCCAGCTGCACAGAGTGAGGGCGGATCATGACAGCTGGCCTCTGCCTCACATCCAGCCCTGGCAGGGGCGGGGGGGAGAGTTCAAAGCCCTTCCCTTTCCATCCCCCCATTGGGCCCGGAGGGAATTTGGGTGCAGGTTAATGAGGCGACAGTCCCTCAATGGAGCAAGGGGAGAAGGTACGGTCCAGGGCGCCCCTCACCCTCAGGAAGGAGTAGAGACAGATGGACAGCCAGTTAGTGAGCAGCTTCTCCACCATGGTCTCCGTCCTGCGGGGAGCAGGCCTCGGGTTAGAGACGGTGCTGCAGGGCCATGTCCCTGGGCTCAGGCGGCACCGGAGGCAACGCAAAGCTTTTCCACCTGTCACCCTCTGTGTCGGTCTCCTTCCCTACCAGTGGCTTAGGTCCTAGCCAGCTC